ACTGCAGAGTTCTGGCCGTTAGATGTAGCTCGTCTGTGTTGGGACATTCTTTTAAACAATGGCTGCTTTGTTTCCCCGTCTCTCCCCGAGGAGAGACGAAACGTTTCATTAGAGAAGAACCCCTCCAGAAGACCTCTAAAAATTTTTCTCTTTTTGATTTTTTACCTTTATTACTGAGATGCATCAGGACAGATTCATGAGATATTTTGCTAACAGACACAATCAATTAAACATTGACAGCTCGACATACTCAACACATTATTAAGAAAAACAGCTAAACAGACATATTTGGAAAGTTTAGTCGGAAACCACAAACCAAAATAACTGTTTTTATACTGCATTTTAACTTTAGAAACTTTAGTTAGTATTGAAAGTATTTCCTGTAAAGTAACAGGAACAGGGAGTGGATCTAAGAACAGTGAATGGCTTTCAGAGGTCATCACTTCTGTTGCAGCTGCACTCTAAAGCTGTTTGACGACCAGAGAAAAGAACACTTTCCTGTTCTAATGAAGCAGATCAGACTCAAACTGAGCTGAAATCCACTCACTAAAGGGATGGTTTGAACTTTAGTGTCAGGAAATATTTATTTGCATCCATATTAGCAGTTTAAAAAGACCAGTACTAAACATATTATATATACAATTAAATTTTAATAAGTTAAATAAAGAGAATGTCTACAACAACTTTCTTGTGATTGATTTTTTTGTTGTTGGTGTTATTTGTGACCACACCTAGTTCAGAATGATGTCAGTGGAAAGTTGTTTATTTGGGCCCCAAAATTGTGTTTTTTCACAAATAAGTCAACTGGTAAAATAGAAAACCACTTTAAGAGATGTTTGTTTGTTTGTTTGTTTGTTTGTTTGTTTGTTTGTTTGTTTGTTTAAAGCCCCACCAACAATTTTTTGCATTATTAAATAGCTCCTTGGTTCTAAAGATAACCCAGGAAATGAAAGTTATTTGACACTGAAAGCAGAAGTGAATGAAAAAGAATGCGTTTCTTGAGCAGCGGTACAGTTTATCAGCTTCAGAACACATACGTAAGCTTATAAAACCACTTCAGTTTTTGCCATTTTAACAAAATCCTAACTGTATTGTATGTATATGAATATTAAAGCCGAGACAGACAGGGTTTACTCTGCAGTTCAGGTCAAGGGATCTCTCAGGGATGACTCAGCTACCACCACACCAGCTTTTAACTCAGCCTCTGTAAAATCAACAGGGTTGTTGACGTCTTTTTGTTTTCTCAGTTGGTAGAGCTGTTTCCTCTCATCACGTAGGTTGCCGGATCAAATCCCAGCCGGGGACCTTTCTGGGTAGAGTTTGCATGTTCTCCCTGTGCCTGTGTGGGTTTTCCCCCTGGAACTCTGATCTCCTCCCACAGACCAACARCTTGAATGTTAAGCTTTGTAACCGGAGCGATGCTGCATGGTTGTTTGTCTCTATGTGACCCTGTGATGGATTTGCGACCTGTCCAGGGTKTACCCCGCCCCTCGCACAGTGACTGTTGGGTATGGGCACCTGTGACCCTGAAAGGAAGAAATGGGTAAAAGATACTGGCTGTGTCTCAATTTAGGGGTGCGTTTGTGGGCCGGTTACATCACGTGCCACACCGTGGGCCTTAGCTTTCCCAGACTGTGAAGAGTGTGGCCTCTGTGGGTCGTGGTCTATGTTGGCAACYCCAAAATTGAGACACGGCCACTGGATAAAATTATGGAGTTAGGGCGACCTTCTTGAATCGGTATTTTGAAAGTTAATTGTCAAGGTACACCCATTGTATATTATCTGAAAGTTTCATTAAAATTTGTTCATTGGCTCATGAGACACTTTTCTAACAGATGGAAAAAATACACCGGTACAAAAATCTTTTTTTTAACCATCATTTGGTTTTTTTTTTACAAAAAAAGACAAAATAATTCACATGAATCAACAAATTACATGACATTTCAACAAACGACCAAGATTTTGTTCCATAGACCTCTGAATGGCACAAAAGTCCTTGTGTAAGCTACATAAAAGCCTAAAACTTTATTTAGTCCATGAGAAGTGAGATGTTGTGTCTCAGATGTGTTTTTGTGTTGAAAAAAGTGTTTTTTTCCACTCCTCAGCCAGCCTCCATCTTGTGCATTGCCCCCAGACAGAACTTGTCTTGCAGAGTGTGCATCAGGTACAGTGTGATTGGTCAGAACTTTGTGGGCGTGTTTAAGTGGAGAAGCGGAGGTGAACGGAGCAGCTGGCCAAGGCTGTTTTTTTTTTTTTTTAAATGTGACTATACAGCTGTTCTAACAAGAATTTTAAAGATAGTCAAAGAACTTGTAGATAGCACAATTTTTTTTGTGCACGGAGGCGATGGAGTGGAATCACCGGCAGTTTTCGGCCTGTCAGAAACAGTGACGGTATATTAGGGCCAAATTTACAAAATGTCACCTCGCCTAGACCTTCCTCCTCCAACTCTTCCATCATCTACTGAAAACAAACATCCACTTTCCAAACACTGCTGTCATGGTGTGCAAAATGTGTGCTGCAGAGGGAGGGTTTTAGGACCCCCCCCCCCCCCCCAGAGTTTCCCTTTGATTATAACAGTCTGCAAGAAAAAAATGTCTAAAACTATGTCAGTGAGATCCAGCCTCTGACATCTTGGTGAAAGTGTAGAGAGCCAGTGAGGTGCTTTAAGATCTGATAAGTGATAGTTCACTTTGACTCTTCTCTGATCAGTTTTTTGTTTCATTTTTTTGTAATCCCAAGATTCAGTAAAGTAATTTACCATTTTGAGCCTTTAAGAGCCGTTCTAATTATAAACAGGAGAGAAAGAGGCTGATTTCTATACCAGAATTATCAATGGTTTAATTAAAAGGAATATATCCGAAGGAAAAAAAACACAAGCAGATCCTCTGGATGTGACTAAAAGTTTGAGGGCTGTCTGCACCTCTGGGACTAAAACTGAGTGAAAAGCAAAAGATTGATTTGTGGTAATTTGAATGTTGGAGCAAACAGTGGGGGATCAAACAAAGTGGCGTCTCTCAGAAGTGATTACAAGAATCGATTACAGAGCCGGAGGCAATTAAATGCTCATTAAAGCAGCCGAGCGTTGTGGCCTCATCACAGATTGTTTGGTTGGAGCCAAATCTTGTTGTGTTTTTCCTTCCTGTGTAGGGATTAATTGGTCAATTGTTCAAAATGTCAGGCTTTTGTTGGTTGAAAGCTTCAGTCATGAAATGGTCAAAATCAGCTCTGGATGTTTTTTTTCCTTAAAGGAAACTCGAAACATCAAGTAGAGAAAATTAAATTTTAGTTTCAATCTGCTAAATAACATGTTTTTCAATGGTTTTTGTCCCGACCTGTAAACTCCAGTTTGGATGCTATGTTTTAGTAATATTAATCATGTTTGTTATTTGGAGCTTTAAATGCGCACTTCCTTAAATSACTCTCAGATTTAAAACTAAAGTTTTAGGATAGTGGTGTGTGTAGACATCAAAATGAGAAGTAAACTTACACACACCCCATGGATTGTTTAATCAGTTGATGTATTTTTCCAATTCTGTGAATATGAATAAAAGTGGTATTTACGGTAAAAGTTTTAAATAAGCTTATCATTGTACAAAAAAATGAATCTATACAGAAATATCTCGCCTGGATACAGTGAATTTAATTGAGGTTAGCTGAAAAGAATGAATATTTACCTTTCTGACACCCTTTTGATTTGTACATGATCCATTACACCTGTATWACACAAATCACAGCACACTCCAGCTGGACATATCAGACATATATTCTAGTATGAAGAATCCTGTGGCAGATATTAATACTGTATGTTGCTGAAACAGGAATTTTTCAACATTATATAAACCAGTTTAACAGGTAAGTCAGCTGAGAACCAATTTTTATTTACAGTGATGATCTGACCTGGTAAATGTTGTAGTCATTATGGCCTTAAGAAAATTGTGTTTTTGGAGAGGTGAGGCTGGACACTATAGACCCATGTGATGCAGCCTAAATTTTTTCCTTTAATGATTTTTTTATTACTACTTTTATACTTTAAGTAGTTTAAGGTTGTATAATTTTATTTCTACTATATTTCTATTTTTAAACCCTGGTATCTATACTTCAATTTGAGTAATGAATATGAGTACTTTTGACACCTCTGTTAGTGTCTTATCATCAGTACAACAATTACAACAAAACACAACATGAAGAGAAGGACAGAAGTTCAAGCTTTGCTAATGGATAAGATAAGATAGACCTTTATTGTCATTGTACAGAGAACAATGAAATCACAGTTCAGAACACCCATTCAGAAGAAGACAGAACATGACAAACATAGGAGAACAGGTGCTCTGGATCATGCAGCCACAGACCCTGCACAGAGCTTCATGAAGACATCATGAGGAGGTGCAACCCTTCACAGAAAAACTAAAAACCTCACAAGGACAGATGAGGGAAAACAAAACATCATATCAACAATGTGACGCAACATGGTGTTTTAAAAAAACTCTGCATAGAGCACATTTATTAGTCAGAGGAGTACACTCACCGGCCACTTTATTAGGTACACCACGCAAGTAACGGTTTTGTGGTCATAAAGGGATGGACATGGTC